TAAATCTCCTCAGGAGCATCGCGATTCTTTTTCTAGCCACTCTGACAGTAGACATGCTGGTCATAGTTCTCTCAAGTCATCGCTAAACCTATCAGAAGCGAAAAATGAAACTTCCATTCCTCCTACAAGGATAGTTGTTCTGAAACCTAACCTTGGGAAGATGCTGAATGCTACCAAAACTATTTCATCACCTTGTTCTTCTCATGCTTCTATGTTAGATGGTAGGAAACACGCAGAATTTCCGAGCATTAGAAGTAGGGAGACAGAATCATGGGGAAGGAAAAACTTCCAAGATAAAGATGGCCATTTGAGGCATAAGTCTAGAGAATCTAGGGAAGTTGCTAAGGAAATCACAAGGCAAATGAGGAATAACTTTAGCACTGGTTCTGTACGTTTTTCATCATCTGGTTTGAAAGGATATGCTGGTGATGAGAGTTCTTGTAGCATGTCTGAGAATGAATCTGCAAATGAGTCAGAGGTGATGTCAGTGGCTTCCAGACATTCCTTTCACTTGAATAATCACTCTAGGCCGTCATCATCATGCTCTACTGAATCAACTGTGAGTAGAGAGGCCAAGAAGAGACTCTCAGAGAGATGGAAAATGACTCACAAGTCCCAAGAAGTGGGAGTGGTTAGCAGGGGCAGCACCCTTGCTGAAATGCTTGCTATCCCCGACAAGGAAATGCGAGCAGAAAAATTGAATGCCATGATTGGTGAGGCAGGATTTAGAGATAAATTTTCTACTGAAGATGCACCTGCACGATGGGGTGGACCTCTGGGTATCAGCAGTAGGGATGGCTGGAAGGATGGATGTATCAATAGTTTATCAAGATCAAAATCTCTTCCTGCTTCATCTAGTGCATTTGGAAGTTATAAAACAAGTATGCGCCGTGAAACTATACGTGATGACAGGTATCTGATACCAAAAGAAACAGTCCAGCACGAAAGAAACCAGCTAGTAAAGGGGAATCTTGATCTTAGAGAAGGTGCCCGCAAACACTCTAGATCCAGTAATAAAAGATCGTATTCTTCTCGCTCCTTAAGTAGGGAAGCTATTGACATTTCACCTGAAACTCATACTACTCAGAGTAAAGATAAAACCGACTTTGAAGAGAACAATCAATCCCAGCAGAATATTTCAGTCTTTGAGTCATCACCTAGTAATGCTGCAGATTCAAGTTCAGCTTCTGTAAAACTGGTGGATGCGGATGCATCCATACCTTCCGAAACTCCTGATACGTTCCTTCCAGAATCATCTTCTCGTATGTCGGTAGAAGGCGATTCTTCTTCTACTCCCAAAGAGAACCTAGTTCCTCAGGTTTGTGTTTAATTGTCTGCTTGGTTTTTGATTGTGTGATAGGATAATATCAATGCTGTAATGATATAGACTTAGTAGAGACTTAATGATGTTGAAATCCCCAGGACTGATTCTAAAAAAACTCTTATATGATTTCATTTTTGATGTTCCTGAAGACAAAACAAAAAAAACAAAAAAAAACCTGTTGCATATTACTCTTTGTGAGATGTTAATTATTGTTGATGATTTTATCATATACCATTTTGTACAAACAAGTAGATGTATCTATTCATCATACTTTGTGTTGTCACTTCTATTCTATGTGTTTGGAATTCATTTCCTGCTCAGTTGAAAGCAGAGCTTTGCATCAAGAATATTTTTGCCTCTTAAATATTTCAATAAATTTCCAGGAACCATCAATCAGGCCACCTTTTGAACGGGCAGTCCCCTCTGACCACCCTGTCCCTGGAATAGAATCGCCTGCAAGAACTAAGGAGGCTGATCAACCCAGTCCTGTTTCAGTTCTGGAAGTTCCTTTCACTGATGATGCATCATCTTCTCCTGAATGCTTTGAGAGTCTCAATGCTGACCTGCAAGGTAATTGGAAGACCATTTATATTGATTATTTTTTAGGTTTCTAGTGCTACTTTCCCTATGGAATATGTAGGTGCTGGAATAGAATAAACTATTGCCTTGCTGCTTTCCAATTATATCATGTGCGAGAAGTCGGTTGATTTTGTAATTTCTGAGTGTAGATGTTGGATAAGGTGGGCTGTAGTCATTGGTGGGAGTGGAAATTTTGTCTGCCATATCAATTGGATTTGTTGAACTGAATCCGTTTTGAGTTCTATTATGACTATGATTACCTTTTCTTCCTTCTGCGTTGCGCATTCGTTTAGTTAATTGATCCATTCCTTTTGTTTGCCTTAATTTTCATATTCTATTTGGTTGCTAGGGCTTCGGATGCAGCTTCAGCTACTCAAGTTGGAGTCAGAACCATATGCAGAGGGACCCATGGAAATCTCAAGTGATGAAGATGTTGGTGAAGAATTTACTGGGTTTTCAGAAGCAATAGGACTTCATAGAGATCAAGGGAGCTGGGAGTCCTCGTACTTGGCCAATATTTTAACTGAATCTGGTTTAAACAGTGCCGACTCGGGAACCTTTTTGACAACATGGCACACTCCAGAATGCCCTGTGAGTCCTTTTCTGTTTGAAGAGCTTGAGAAGAAATACTCTGATCAGACTTCTTGGCCAAAGCCTGAGAGGAGATTACTGTTCGACCGGATAAATTCAGGGCTTCTGGAGACGTTTGAGCAATTCACTGATCCACACCCATGGGTGAGGCCTGCAAACAAAAGAGTTGGTCCCAAGTGGATTCATAGAAGTGCACTCCATGGTGTTCTGTGCAAGTTGCTGGCAAGCCAAGAAGAGAACGCAAATGAGGACAATCTGGAGAAAGTGCTCGAAGGAGACTCGCTGTGGTTGGATTTGGGAGACGACATAGACATAATAGGTAGGGAAGTAGAGAACTCGTTGATAGATGAGCTAGTAGCAGAGGTAGTGGTTATGTAGTGTAGAATGCGAAAATTTTCAACTGAAGTATTTGACTTTGTTGGTCTAGAAGCTTAAGTAGAGTATGTAAATGAAGCCATGAAATGGTAGTTTCATGAGAAAGATGAATAAAAAGATTAAGTCTTT